TTTTTTGCCCAAGTCTCCCTTTCGGGTTTTCAACTTGCCGGGTGTACAGTTTTTTTATTTATATTTTATCCCTAATTTTTACCCGAACCTTTTTGGTTCACCGGGATGCCCTTGTTTTGCCTAGGTGTGTCAACCTAGCGGGTCTCTTAGGCGTAGTATCTTTTGACTATGTCTGCGTTCGTAGGGTGTGGCAGGTCGTCACCGTCTATGGTGGTTAAGATCATTGCCCCACCGGAGAATATGTTCTTGATTACAAATGGTCCTTCATAGGTAGGAGTCCATTTGCCCCTGGGATCACTTTTTGGCAAGATAATGCGCTTGATCACTAGATCTCCAACTTGATATACTTGGCGTCTGACTTTCTTGTTGAAAGCCTTGATCATCCGTTTTTGATACATCTGACCATGGCAAACAGCAGTAAGTCTCTTTTCATCAATTAAGTTTAGTTGATCAAGTCGAGTCTGGATCCAATCGTCTTCATTACCTGCATCCTTCATAATTCTCAAAGAGGGGATCTGAACCTCAATAGGCAAGACAACCTCCATGCCATAAACCAAAGAATAAGGTGTTGCCCCAGTTGATGTGCGAGCCATGGTACGATACCCGTGGAGAGCGAAAGGTAGCATCTCATGCCAGTCTTTGTAGATGACTGTCATTTTCTGTATGATCTTTTTAATGTTTTTATTTGCAGCTTCAACGGCACCATTCATCTTTGGCCGATAGGGGGATGAATTGTGATGCTGAATCTTGAACTGCTCGCACAAGGCGGTGATCATAGTATTGTTAAGATTCATACCATTGTCAGTGATGATCCTTTCTGGAATACCGTACCGGCAAATGAGATTCTGCTTGATGAAGCGGACAACAACATTCTTAGTAATGGATGCGAAGGAAGATGCTTCGACCCATTTTGTAAAATAGTCAATGGCCACTAGAATAAAGCGGTGTCCATTGGAGGTTGTAGGCTTGATCTCTCCAGTCATATCAATTCCCCACATAGCAAAGGGCCAAGGAGCCGTCAAGACATTTAGAGGAACCGGAGGTACGTGCACCTTGTCCGCATAAATTTGACACTTATGACAAGCCCGAGAGTGTTGATAGCAGTCTGCTTCCATGGTAGACCAATAATAGCCTGCCCGTAGGATTTTCTTCGCCATCGTATGCCCACTGGAGTGAGTGCCAAAAGTACCTTCATGTAATTCAGCCATGATCTTTTCAGCCTCAATCTTATCCACACATCGAAGCATAATGGAGTCACGATTGCGTTTGTACAGGATGCCATTACTCAGGAAGAATTTAGCAGAGAATCTCCTTAGGAACTTTTTATCATTGATTGAAGCTCCTTCTGGATATTTTTGAGTCTCGAGATACCTCTTGATTTCATGAAACTATGGTTGGTCCACTATCTCTTCAGTATTAATCTCGTGACAATGTGTTGGTTCCTCCATTCGTTCGATGGTGATCTGGGGAGCCTCGTTATCCCAATTAATTTTAAACATATATGACATTGTGGCTAGAGCATCTGCTAGCTGATTTTATTCTCGCGGGAAATGTTCGAAGGTAATCTGCTCAAAATGTGGTAGCAATGTCAAAACATGTTCTTTGTAAGGGATAAGGTTTGGGTGCTTAGTGTCCCATTCTCCTTTGATCTGACTGACAACCAAAGCTGAATCTCCAAACACATCTAAAGATTTGATTCCCAAGTCTATGGCAGCCTTGAGACTAAAGATGCACGCTTCGTATAGCGCCATGTTGTTCGTACAGTTGAAGCAAAGTCTGGAAGTAAAAGGAGTATGATAACCTTTCGGAGATATGAGTACAGCGCTGATACCATTACCAAGTGCATTGGATGCTCCATCAAAGAACAGGGTCCATCGGGATCCTTGTTCAGGTCTGTCATATGGTCTAATTTCTTCACAGTTGTCTAAAGTCATGACGTCTTCATCCGGGAACTCAAACTTCATGGGCTGATAATCTTCTACAGCTTGATGGGCAAGATGATCAGCTAGTACATTGCCCTTTATAGCTTTTTGGGTAGTGTACTGTATGTCATATTCTGTTAGGATCATCTGCCATCTAGCTATCCTTCCAGACAGAGCAGGCTTTTCGAAGATGTACTTTATCGGATCCATCTTAGATATCAACAAGGTAGTATGAGTCAACATATACTTTCTTATCCGGCGAGCAGCCCATACCAGAGCGCATCAAGTTTTCTCGAGCAGTGAATATCTGGTTTCACAGTCGGTAAACTTTTTTCTCAAGTAATAAATAGCGTGCTCTTTTCGGCCAGACTCGTCATGCTGCCCCAATACACACCCCATTGAGTTCTCTAAAACGGTCAGATACATGATCAGTGGTCTTCCCTCGACTGGTGGCATCAAAACAGGAGGCTCTTGTAGGTACTCTTTGATTTTGTCGAAAGCAGTCTGGCATTCATCATTCCATTTGACCACATGATCTTTCTTCAATAATTTAAAGATTGGTTCACAAGTAGCTGTCAGGTGAGAAATGAATCTGGAAATATAGTTCAGGCGTCCCAAGAATCCTCTGACTTCCTTCTCAGTATGAGGAGCAGGCATTTCTTATATCGCCTTAACTTTGGCGGGATCAACTTCGATGCCTTTGTTGCTGACAACAAAACCTAAGAGTTTACCGGACCGGACTCCGAATGTGCACTTGTTTGGATTCAACCTTAGTTTGTACTCCTTCAACCTCTCAAACAACTTTTGCAAGTGATCAAGGTACTCCTCTTCAGTTTTTGATCGAGCTATCATGTCATCTACGTAGACCTCTATCTCATGATGTATCATATCATGAAATAAAGATACCATGGCGCATTGATAGGTTGCCTTAGCATTCTTCAGTCTGAATGGCATCACTTTGTAGCAGAATGTGCCCCACTGTGTGACAAATGTAGTTTTCTCCATGTCCTCAGGTGCCATTTTGATTTGGTTATAACCTGAGAATCCGTTCATGAAGGAAAACACTTTATGCTGGGCTGTATTCTCAACCAGGATATCGATGTGGGGAAGTGGAAAATCATCTTTATGGTTGGACCTGTTTAAATCTCTATAATCCACGCACATTCGCACTTTGCCGTCTTTTTTAGGCACAGGAACAATGTTGGCAACCCATTAAGGATAGGAAGTGACAGCCAAGAATCCAGCATTGAATTGTTTCATGACTTCCGCTTTGATCTTATCTGACATGTCAGGTCTCATGTGACGGACTTTTTGTTTCACTGGTGGACAGTCTTCTCTTGTGGGCAGGCGATGTACCACGATGTTTATATCAAGTCCTGGCATGTCTTCGTATGACCAGGAAAAGATCTCAACATAATCATGCAATAGCTGAATTAGACGCTCCTTGACACTCGGCTCCAGATTGGCACCCACCCTGATTTCATTTTTATCCTCCTCGGTACCCAAGTTGATTGTATCCAACGGTTCCTCATGAGGCTGAATAACTCTTTCCTCTTGTTGTAGTAGTCTGGCCAATTCCCCTGGTACATCACAATTTTCCTCACCTTCATCTTCGGCTTGGTAGATAAGATCTTCAGAGTCACTAAAGGTCATAGCAGTATCGTTACCCATGGGATCCGGGATGGAGGGGTACCTGCATTTGTGAGTGTGGGTGTGTGTAAGGGTATAGCCATCTTTAAACAATAAAATGTAAAAGAAAGACAATGAGCACAAAAGTTTTGTATGTGAAAAAACATCCATGATACATTGAATGTCATATGAAGATGAAATAAAAATCCTTACAAATGGACCATTGTGCCTCGGGTAAGACACAATGTTTTTAATGTGCGAATTGTTTGTGAATATTACAAGTCCAATAGAAATGTAAAAGATAAATTATTGAGAGATGAAAGTTATCGGGACAAAGTCTCTGGCTTCCCAATTGCGAAGTCCTCCGTTGACAATAGGAAATATCCAATCCTCTAAGTTGCCATCTTCCACTGCGTTGACCTCTCGGTTGCTAATCTTCAGAGGTGGCCCTCCAGCACGGGCGCGGCGCACAGCTTTCTGAGCATTCGAAGTAAACCCTAAGCCAAACTTCTTCAGCGGCCAACCCATCTTGTTTGATACCATGGTAGTATATTTCTCCACCATAATTCCACGGTACTGTTTTGTTTGATTCGTACAGGACCGGCCCGGGCATTGTAATTATAAGAGGAGTAGTCTTTGGAACCGATGTAATCCTAACGGGTCTTTTGGAGGCCCTGGAAGGATTGGCGTAGATGGTTATGATTGAAATGTCTTCAACAGGATCAGGTGAAACAGGAGCACTTTCAAACAGAATCTCTTGGTTGTCAATCAAGCGTTGAATGCATGTCTTCAACGGAGGGCAAACAGTTGGTGAGGATAAGCAAAGATGGCAGTCTTCACTACAACCTGGGAATACACCAGCTTTCAGCAAATTTATCTTAATGATTGGGAGCGGAGTCAAGAGTTCATCCACTATGGTAACAAACAAATCTTCTTCGATAGCATTGGCGTTGTAACCATGCCTAGGCATAGGAGCGGAAATGACGTTTGGTTTCTCAGGCGCCTCAAATTCAATCTCTTTTGCATCTATAAGGTCTTGAATTTTGTTCTTCAAAGCCCAACAGTTGTTAGTATCGTGACCCGGGCTTTCGGAATGATATTCACATCTGGAATTTGGATGATAATGAGGGGACGTCGTGTTGGGATTCTTTGGAGCTTCTTTTAAAGTTGCTAGATTAGATTTCAGCAGATGTGGTAAAATCTGGGCTAGAGTCATATTAATTCTGGTGAATCATCGGACTGGCCTTTCCACCCTTGGTTGATTACTCCTTGGTTGATCAGATGCAAGCTTTGGGATCATAACGGCCCCTACCATTGGTCGGCGTTCAACTCTCCCTTGGTTCCTTTGTGGATAAACAACAGATACCTCCTTCTTCCCAGTGAAGGGTTTTTTCACTATACTGCAAGAAATTTCCTTTATAAAGTTTTATTAAATCTTTTCTAATAGCTTCAGCAACCAATACTGCTTAGAGTCAACCTACAAAGAAAATATCAAGTTTACCAAACAATTAGAACAAAGATTATGTGAACATAGTATTCTACAAACTTATGTAAATGTATTGCATTTTATTAGTAGTATATTTGTATTAGACATTTATTTGTTGGATTTACTATGTTATAATGTTATAGACCTGTTCTCATACTTGAATAAGCAGCAAAATCTAAGTGTTACAGAGATTATCTAAGTGTTTTACACTAAATAACATCAAATTTGGATCGCAAAAACGGATTTTTAACTCCATGATTTATGAATAAAAAAGTGTGTGTAACTAAATTTTTTACCTGTTTCCCATAATGCTAATCATCGGCTTTTGCCCATCAGCAAATGCTTGTTCTGCAACCTCCTCTTCCTCATCAAAAACAGTTTGGTCCCTCTCTTCTTCCTCCCCTGCTATCGTGGTGTGATTGACAGCTGGACCTTGCAGAACATGATGTGTCACTCCAGGGGTAGGAACAAATGTGGGTTCCTCAAATTTCGGTGATGTGTCGGTTGTCTGAGGTTGTGATGCTGCTTCAATTGTCTGAGGCAGTGGAGGTGTTGGGGTTGTAAGAGGCAGGGAAGGTGTTGCGGTTATATGAGGCGGTGGTGGTGCTGCAGTGGTATGAGGCGGTGGTGGTGCTGCACTGGTATGAGGCGGTGGAGAAGCTTGTGTTCTTTGATGCATGCTAGAAGTGGTGCTTTTGTTCCTTGTGTCATGCTTCAAGCGAGATGTGTTTACAGCTAGAGCCCTAGGTGGCATATGTCGTGTACGACATTACCTATCAACACCTCTTTTTAACACAATTGGCATTAGAAAGAATGCATCAAAAGATATTAAATTGTAAAGAAACTAAATAGTGAAAGTTTTAGTCATTTTACAGTTTCTTGCTTATTGGTGCTCTCTTCTTTGACCCTTCTCCAGTCATTTCAACTTACACCAACCACGAGCCACAAAAATCTACACTAATCTGCAGCTAAGAAATCAAAATGAATCAAAATGGGTGGCAATATAATTGTGTAAACTAAAAAGGAGAATCACCATTTCATGTAAATACCATAAACTATAAGATGCAAATCAGCCTAGTGACACAAGCTCCAAGAAATAATGACAGTAAAGAATGGAAAGCTTAATAACGACACCAAAATGAATACCCGTAAGATATCATAATATAATTGATATCCAATTCCAAAATAAATTCTCAAACATTAAATACAAAACAAACAAACCATACAAAACAGACTACATGAACAATTTCACTGATAAATCACATAATTAAAACACACATGGGATCATTTGTCACTAGTACTAATACCATGGCCTATTATAAACTAAAACTGCAACTAATTTACATCATTGTTCTCTCCATCTTGAATCATTGGATCATTTGTCAATAGTACTGGCTCAACATCATCAATTAATCTCTTATGATGCTTATAGTTGTAAGTTACAATATAAAAAGAGATATAATGATTTTACGTTAAAATTGGCTTTATAGGAAGAGAAACAAAGTGGTGGAGAAACCGATTGTGGACCTGCGACAAATTATGCAAGCGATTTAATTCAAATTTGATACCATTTTACACAAATTGATTGTAAAAATCAATTTCACGCAAACCATTTTGCAAGCGAGTTAATTTAAATTTGATACCAAAAGTTATATAAATGTGCATGGTTCTATGACTTTGAGTGATAGTCTTGGCAGTACTGAATTAGGGATAATTAACTACTGAATTAACAGAAAAATTAACAGAAAAAATAGATTAGGTTAGGAATTAGGGCTAATTAACTATTGAATCTAAATTCACAAATTCACAGCAGAACAACAGAGCAATTCAGAAAAAAGTGATCATTGCAAAATTTATTGCACATTTTCAGATCTAGATGTTCTTAATATTTTTAAACTAAATAAAACTACTGAATCACATAACAACAATTAGATTTTTAAGAAATGCATAATGATGAATCGATGAACAGAGGATTATGAAAAATGAGAAACACAACAAGCCTCGAGCAATTCTTATGGATAACAAAACCAAAATCAGAGCAATCAGTATCTAACGGACGAATCGAAATGAAGAATTGAAATGAAGAATCAAACACACGATTTTGAAAAGAAATATGATGAAAAGATTTCAACCTGAAACGATTTTGAGAAGCAATTGCAACCTGAAGCGATTTTGAGAAGCGATTCCTTGCAACCTGAAACGATGAAATGATGAAATGATTTTGAGACGCGATTGTAATCTGGAGATGAAACGATAAAATGAAATATTTTAACTTGACAAGATTGCTAAACGATGAAATGGCGATTTCCGTCTGAATCGAAAAAAGCTGAAACGATTTCTACTTCTCTGAGAAGCTGAAAAGATTTTCTTTCTTTTGTTTTTTCTTTACAATTCTAATACATTTACTAATTACTTTATGTTTTTATTTATTTTTAATAAATACATTTTAATAAATAGATTTTGATTATATTTTAATTACTAATTTATAATATTTTACTTATTTTATTTTAATTTTATCTTACTAAATAGTTTTAATTCATTTTTTCTTTTTATTTTATTATTTTGTTAATACATAGTTTTGATTTTATTTTATAAATTTATAATATTGATTTTATTTTATAAATTTGAGTTTAATATACTTTTGATTTGATTTTATAAAATTTATACTTTATTTTATAAATTTAATTTTAGTTAGTTTTATTTTAATTTACTAATTTATAATATTAATTTTATTTTATAAATTTAATTTTTGTTAGTTTAATATATTGGTTTTTTATTTTATAGTTAAAAATAATCTACTAACAAATAGTTTGAAACAATAAAAAATCAACCAAATTTGTGAGGAAATAAAATTATTTGGCACTAATAGTAGCGTCGGCTCAAAGTGTCGCTAATATTAAAAATTAATAATTATTTAATACAATAAGTAAAAAGGAGGAAAATGAAATTGGTGGAGGGAAATGAAATTATTTGGTACAATATTAGCGTCGGCCCAGAGCGTCGCTAATATTAAAAATTAATAATTATTTAATACAATAAATAAAAAAGAGGAAAACAAAATTGGTGGAGAGAAATGAATTATTTAGCACCAATATTAGAGTCGACTAAACCCGTTGCTACTATTAAAAATTAATATTTATCTAACACAATACTTAATAAGGAGGCAAACACAATAGTTAATAAGGAGGCAAACGAAATTGAGGGAGAAATAGAGTTATTTGGCACTAATACTAGCGGCGGTCGAACTGTCGCTACTATTAAAATTAAAAATATTACAATAAATAATAAGGATACAAACGAAATTGATGGGGGAAAGGAAATTATAAAGAGCAATTTTAGCGTCGGTTGTGGCTGAGACTATGATCAACGTCCTAATAAAAAAATAAAACAAATGACTTTATTCAATTAACGTCGGCTTATGTCACCGTAATAGCAACGCTAAGAGTGTAGGTGTCGGAGTCGAGCTAAAAAATTGCAGTTGAATGATGATTTTATTGTAGTGATCATTCTCATCATTCTTGGATGGACTAGCGGTCGGATCCGGGGAAATTCCTAGTTTGTAAAGTTTAACTTATTTTATGTTATTTCACTCATAATGATCCAACTTTTTTATTCTTTTCTCTTGACTCTCTTTAGTATTAAGAGTTTAGTACACCTTCTACTCCTCATTAATGCAATTGTTTTGCTTATAAAAGAAATCGATGAACAAAATTAAATAACCATGTAGTTGGGACAACAAAATCACATAAATGAATATAAAAGAAAACCAAAATATTTGACAAATTCATTTTATTATATATAATGAGAGAAAGAATATACAGTAAATATAAACAGAAACAACATTAAAGGTGTATTTGTTTGATAAATTAAAATTATAATTACGAGAATATTATTCTTAAGAATATTATTATCAGAAATTTTATTTTTATTATTGTGTTTGGCAAATGAATAAAGTTTCTAGAAATATTTTTAGGTTTTATTTTAATAGAATTTTAAAATTTAAAAATTTAAAAATAAATATATTAAAATAATATGAGAATGAAAACTTATGATTAATTACTTTATATTTCTATAGAAATCTAAGATTTTCATCATTTGACATAAGAATAAGAATATAAAAATTCATAAACAAAATATATTTTTAAAAAAAAAAATTAGACATAATTTATTAAAATTTAAAACAAACAAAAAAATATATGAATTCTAATATCTGATTTCCGAGAGTAACATTCATATCCATAAAGCAAACATCCCCTAATAAAACAAAGGGATCATACACTTAAGCTATTCGTTGATATGATTCCTTATTGAAGAAGGAATAATAAACTAACTAACTTTTAATCAATTCTAAATTACTAAAAGATTTGATTCTCTAGTTATCATCTCCGGACAGCAAAGCATGAAAAAAAGAGTAACCTATTTATACTCTAGTTATGGTTTAGTCATGTGATCTACTGTATATAATTCAACTGAATGCATTAAATTTAAAAACAAATGTACGTAAACGTTTATATATTTTGTTGGCCAACGGTCGAATGAAGATTATTATGTGAAGGGTCGAGTGAAGAATATCGTATATTATAAAAAAAAAATTATTTGAATAATTTATTTTTGTGAGTGACGCATCATTTATTTATCTAAAATTTTAAAATGATAGATAGATAAATTCTCTCTTTCATAAATATTCAAATCATCGTACTTCTATGTGATATTGAATTATTTATTCACAACTTGATTTTCAACCTATTTTATATTTTGAACCTCCTAAACTTTTACTTTTGCACCATAAATCCAAGATATCTTGAACTTTTATTACAGCCACTTAGACCAGGGTCCTAAGTAGTACCCTTTAGAGGTACATGTCCCAATCTATTTAAATGCTTGTTTAAGGTTCATATGAGGGGTATTTATATTGTGAGCTAGCAAGGGCCAAGGGGAGATCTAGTAATGTCTATATTCTAGCTACTGCATGTTAATTTTTATATGTGGTTGTAATTTTTCTGTACTCGTGTATTCAAAATTTTCCATTCAGTTTTTTAACAAAAAGACAAGAAACATAGTTTAATAATGGGTGCATCCATCGTCAACAAAAGTGCATGATTTGATGTCACATTTATCTCGGTCATTCAGGAGGCCGTAGTGAAATCTATAAACTATGACATTTTTAGATTTTTTTTTTATTTTTTAATTAAATATTTTAAATCGATTACCATGAGTTATGAAATCAACCGTGATGATATTATATGCATGGTGATCAGTTTGATTCTCAGCACTTACAAATATGTGATTTTTCGTATCTTAGATAAGTCTTTAATTTTTATTTAAAAAACGAAAGTAATATCATCACTTTTCATTATTTTAACCTTTGTGATATGTTAAATCTTTGATTTTATGATTGACAATTTTTTTGTAAAAACTTATTTATCTGCAAGATGTTAGGACCGATGTCTTGACATGTTGGTCAGACATCTGTGAAGACAAATATTGTGACATATATCGTAACATGTTATACTAGAACATCAGTGTAGTTTAGGTTTTACTTCTTGAAAGATTTGTTTTTATAATATGAAATATTTTGTATGGTTTTAGTAATCATGTTCGAAGAATCCTGGAGTTTGGAAGACAAAAGAAAAAAACCGTGAGTTAGGTCTCTAAGTATTTGAATTTATCAATGCTACAATCTTGGTATTCATAAGTTCTTTATTACATAAGTTATATCACTTGAATTGTGGCCAATGATACTTGGGTGTTTCT